AATTCCCACATGATCATTCCGATACTATAAACGTCTGATTTTTTTGTATACGGCATTCCTAATAATACTTCAGGTGGAATGTATGGAAGCACTCCAATGATTTCTTTTGAAATGTCATTATTTGAATAGTAATTATTGTTCTTGTGGCTTGGCTGACATAATCCCAAATCTCCTATAAAAGTTCCACGATAACCAATTAAAATGATATACATCGTGTTATGAACTATCCTTCTGTTGTGTATGATCTGAACCCATGCCTTAAGATGCATCCTTTTTTAAGAATCCGGCGTAATTAACATTTGAAAAAATTTAATTCAATCAGATTTTTACATAAAATAGATCGGCGAGATTGTCATTGTCTACCTTGCTACATACAACATCCTCGCCGTTTACATCCTTGATACAAGACAAATTAGAAGACTTTTTTTTTTATTTAAAAAGGAAAATTTTGAGAGATTGTTAAAAATTAGTTTTCAAACAAAATAATTAACAATGTGATTACATTATTATATATTGTTTAAAAGAAAAGGGATTTATCGATGAAAAAAATTCATTCGTTATATTGTTTAATCATCTAATATTAGTACCAATTAATATTTTGAAAAAAAAGATTATCATCCATTACTATGTTTTTATATCTTTTTATGTTCAATTGAAACTTTTTTAAATTGTAAAAGACGCATAAAAAACGGGAAACTGATACTAATCGCTGAAAATGAAGGAAGATCTTTTTATCTTGGTTTCACTAAAAAATAGAATCAACAACAACTTTTTTAAAGACACGGCATCAAAAAAAATATATTCAAACCAATCAAATTGTCACTTAATTTCATATTACTATATAAAAAAAATGATGAACGAACGAATTAAAAAAAAATCTGATATTATTTTTTTAATATTCTAAAAGCGAACATTTTTGAGCAGAAGCCTAATATAATATGCTACAGATAGTAATATACAAACAATATGGTGTCCGGTTAGCTGCATTTGCAGAAGTTACAGAAATCCAAAATAACCATATGATTTATGTAACTTGAATTGTGTTACAACTTTAAGTTCAAAAATGATGAATATTTATGTTAATATTGTAATTTGGAAAGCAGAATTCATTTAAAAAAAAAACAAAGAGAATTAGAAGTATATTTCCAAGAAAAAAAAGAATGCATGCTTCTGTATCAGAAATATATATTAGTTCTCTAATTATTTTTTCTAATTAAAATAGTTTTCTTTTTGTAAAAATCTCATATTCCACAAAATTGAAACCTACTTGTCGGGGCGCTAATTATGCATCAATAATAAAGTATTCGATAAAAGTTGTATATATATTAATATTGTTTTTTTTTGTGACACAGAAAGACATGACTTTCTATAAAGTAAAATGCGAGGAATAATTTGATGGTTACAGCCAGAGTCCTGAATTGTTAGAGATTTTAAATGACAAACCCATTTTAATGTAAATTTTTGTGAAATGAAGCCAAATTCATATTACCGGTGAATGAAAGAGAATGGAGAATAAAAGTGAGATACAATTAATCTTTGAAGCATTGTAATTTAATAAATTATCATAATTATCATATATCTGCTTTAGTGTTATTAACTCTATTATTATTTAAAAAATTTAATAATATACAGTATATTCATTAGGCATTATTAAAACCATAATTTACTTGATATTAATTCTGCTAAATTTTTTGACAAAAACTTCATATAATTAACCGGTCAAGGTTTTTTGGCCACCAGTTCCAATCTCTAATATTAACAAGCTAGTAAATGATTTTTTAATATATTAGAGCTTATGACACAGAGATTGACAGTGTATTCCAT